TCTGCATACCCCACCCAAACTCTAGGAGTCATTAGCCCCATCACCAGGGAAGCAGGATATGATAATAGGATTAAACCACAGATATCAAGGCCTAGAAAAACACTCAGAAATATCCTCAAAGTTCATGCCACAGGAACAGGAAACTATTCCAAACAAAAGGCTAGAGGGGGTATAAAAACCTACTACCCATGTGCTCAGCTCTTCTTCCCTCTACTCTTTCCTGCAAGAACCATCTTTCTGCCTCTTCAATAAACTGTAACCTTCTTCCCAAAGCAGTCGCCATGTTGCTTATTTATTCCTGGCTTGGATGAACCAGGATGAAGACTTTAATCCAACAATTAATACATACAAAAAGGAAATACAAATTGAAAGGAATGACTAAATGTTGGCTGTTTGCTTAATGTGTGAGCCACATACTACCTTGATCTTGATCTTAATATTATCCCTCTTTTGATGCAACCTGCATTGGCTTTCTTGGCAGTTGAAACACACTGTTGACTCATACTTAACTAATTGTCCACTAGCACACCTAGATTCCTTTCACAGTTACTAACATTGAGCCAGGTATCACCTATTCTATATCTGTGCAGTTAGGTTTTTTTTTTTGCCTAAGTGTAAGACATTTTCTCACAGTCTGGTGAGGGAGAAGGTCTCTGAGGATGGGCTCCAGCATGAATCCAAAAACTTGAAAGACTAAACCTCTGGTCCCAGTGACTGACCCAGATTGGATCCTGCAAGATAGTGTTTGTGTATATGTGTGTGTGTGTGTACCCATGTTTCCCTGAAAATAAGACCAGGTCTTACATTAATTTTTGCTCCAAAAGACACATTAGAGCTTATTTTCTGGTTAGGTCTTATTTTGGGGAAAATAGGGTACTATGGTACATTTGAAATAAAAAATTAAGTCTTGTAAGAGATTACTTTTATGGCTGTAACTCTCTGTGCTCTTCTCTGTCCTCTTTCTAGAGTCTCAACGTCTTTTTTACATCGACCAAACCTGGATGCAGTATTCCAAGTGTGGCCTTACTAAGGCATTGTAAAGTGGTATTAATACGTGATATTGATTCTATCCCTCTGTTAATGCAGCCTAGCACTGTGTTGGCTTTTTGGGTAGCTGCAGCACACTGCTGGCTCATATTTAAGTGATTGTCCACTAGAACTCCGAGATCCCTCTCACAGTTACTACTATTGAGCAAGGTACCGCCTGTACTATACCTGTACATTTGGTTTTTCTTGCCTACAGTAAATGTAGTACTTTACTTTTTTCACAATTGAATTTCATTTTGTTAGATAGTACCCAGTGTTCAAGTCTGTCCAGATCCTCCTGTATCTTAAGCCTGTCTTCTGGAGTGTTGGCTATTCCTGCCAGCTTGGTGTCATCTGCAAAGTTGATGAGTTCACCATCTGTCCCCTCATCCAAATAGTTGATGAAGATGTTGAAGAGCATTGGGCCTAGAACAGAGCCCAGAGGCATCCCACTACAGACTTCCCTCCATGTAGATGCAGTTCCATTGAGGACCACATGCTGAGTACGGCCGGTCAGCCAGCTATGAATCCATCTGGTGGTGATGCTGTCTAGCCCACAATTTTCTATCTTATCAAGTAGTAGGTTGTGATCTACTTTATCAAATGCCTTACTGAAGTCCAGGTAAATTATATCCACAGCATTCCTCTGATCCACTAATTTGTCACTTAGTCAAAGAATGCAATAAGATTTGTCTGGCATGATCTGTTTTTGACAAACCCATGTTGGCTTTTAGTAATGACTTTGTTTGCCTCTAGGTGTTTGCTGATTCATTGTTTGATTATCTTTTCCAGGATCTTCCCAGGTATTGAGGTGAGGCTGATAGGCCTGTAATTTCCTGGATCCATTTTTCCCCCTTTTTTGAAGATGGGAACTACATCAGCTCTTTTCCAGTCCTCTGGTAGTTCCCCAGTGCTCCAAGATCTTTGAAAAATATAGTTCAGTGGTTCTGAGATCACATCTGCCAGTTCCTTGAGAACCTTGGGGTGTAATCCATCTGGTCTTGGTGATTTGAACTCGTCTAGGCTAGACAGGTGCTCACTTACCATTTTCTTGACTATCTTAACTTGTGTTTCTATTCTGTTTTTTATGGCACTGTTTTTGATAGGTTGGACTGTTTTTTTCCCTTTGTGTAAAGACAGATGCAAAAAATGAGTTAAATAGTTCTGCTTTCTCCCTGTTGCTTGTCACCTTCTTGCCACTTTCCCCCACTAATGGACCAATCGTTTCCTTAACCTTTTTTTTGTTTTTTACATGTTGAAAGAAGCTTTTTTTTGGTTATTTTTGACTTTGGTCACAAGCCTTAGTTCATTTTGAGCCTTAACTTTCCTCACTTCATCTTTGCAGGCTCGGGCTATTTGCTGATATTCTGCTTTAGTTATGTGCCCCTCTTTCCACTTTCTATACTTTTCCTTTTTATCTTTCAATTTATCAGAGAGTTCTTTATGAAGCCATGCTGGTTTCTTTTGAGAGCTGCTATTTTTCTTCTTTGTTGGTATTGTGCTAGATTGGGCTTTTATTATCTCACTTTTCAAAATTTCCCAAACTTCTTGAGTTGTTTTCCCCTGGAGGATTCTCATCAATGGAATCCTTTCCAAGCCTTCTCTAAGTTTATTGAAATTAGCTCTCTTGAAGTTCAAGTCTCTGGTTTGACTGTGTTCTATCGCTTGTGCTTCCATAATGTTGAATTCCAATATTGCATGATCATTTCCCCCCAAGGTTCCTGTGGCTTCAACACCTTCTATCATTTCATCTCTGTTAGTGAGAATTAGATCCAAAATGGCTAATCCCCTAGTTCCCTTCTCTACTTTTTGGGAGACAAAGTTGTCTACTAGGTTTGTCAGGAATCTGTTTGATCTTCCACTTGGTGCAGAGTTTGTCTCCCAGTTGATGTCAGGGTAGTTAAAGTCCCCCACTACTATTGTGATGTGCTTCCTACATACCTTAGTTAGCTGACTAGCAAAAAGTTCATCTATTTCCTTTGTTTGGTTGGGTGACCTATAGTATACACCTATGGCAATGTCATTCCCCCCCCCTTTTATATTGACCCAAATACATTCATCATTGTTGTGCTCTATTTCTGTAGAGATGTAGTTATTTCTTATATAGAGAACATTGCCTGGTTAAGTTATTGCCACAGAGAAAACCCAACCTCCATCAAAACTGGCTGGACAAGCCATTATATATAAAAAGAGAGCAACTCATGTTGTTGCCCAACCAGGTAATGAAATATCTGCAAGCAAATAGCCAAACTCAGAGGACACCAGGAGTTTATCCCTGAGCTACAGATACAGATTGACATACAGAAAAAGAGAAGCAGCAACAACTATAAGGCAATCGACTAGTGAGAGAGAATCCAGTTCCTCTAAGTATATTAGAAAGAATCCAGGAATCAACAAGGAGAAAAGGCGGCATGATAGAAATATCAGTAGTTTTACTTTTTCCACTGCTTTCTCTACTGATTCTGCTCTCTCTGAAACAATGGTGGTCCCGAAGACGCTTCCCGCCCGGTCCTCCTTCTCTTCCAATCCTTGGAAATGCATGGGCTTTGCAGATTAAAAATAATGAAGACATTTTGAAGCAGGTATTTATTTCTTAGCATAGATCCAATAATTAATTAGCCAAATCATTAACAGAGGCAATTCTACTTTACTTTCTTTCTCCTGTGATTATCTCCCAAGTTGCCTTGCTAGTAAAATATTCTGATGCTATATTAATATTGTAATAATTTGATGAATAAAACGAGGATGATGTTGATGAAGGTTAAGACCTGCTCCTCAGCTTTTTAGAGTTGGATTGAGGTCCAGGAATGCAGAATCCACTTGAATTCTAGAAAAGAGTTCCTAATTTTAAAGGTACTTTGAGAATGGATTTCAAGGTGTGGTTAAGCAGAAGTTGGACAGGCATCTTTTGGGGATTGCCTTAATTTGGATTTGTGAACTTAGCATCATGTTCAGTGGCTCCTTCCAATACTATATATATTGATTAGAATGATATAAAAATGATCATGTTTCTATTGGCTGAAACATTCCACAGGTTAAAAAAAAAGCAGCTTGCTACAATAAAATTAAGGCTAAAAATGTAGTAAAGTAAATTACAAATTTCACTTAGTGTCTCATATAAAATAGGATAACAATAACTCACAGATAAACAAAGATCTGCTAAGGAAATTAAATGGAATGAAAAACATCTCTTAATCATAATTAAAACTGTAAGTTAATTAAAGTGATGGAGCACTCCTCTAAGTTGTGTCAGGTAAGCTTTAATTGGTCTGGGATTTACACATCTGATATTGTTCAAGAATTTTTTTTACTTAAAGCCTTATGAATATATATTATATATTTAGCTTGTGAATGTATAGAGATGTCGTTCCATTGGTTAATTGTTCTAACTGTCAGGAAATTTCTCTTAGTGCCAGATTGTCTCTTTGATCTGTGGGCAGTGTGAGCGCATCTGATTTATGGGTTGGAACAAAAAATGGTAGTTTGTGCACAGGAGTTGGGTTAGATCAGGCCATGCTAGGTATTGATAGCTCATGAGTCAACATGAAACCAATCAGTTGGTTCAAGCATTCAGTTGGTTCAAGCATTTTTCATTTGTTTTGCACAAGCTGATAATAAGACAAATCAAGGCCCTAGAACAGTACAGATAGTCCTTGCCTTATCACCACACTTGAGCCCAAAACTTCCATTGCTGAGAAAGACAGTTATTAAGTCAGTTTTGCCCCATTTTATGACCTTTCTTGCCGCAATTGTTAAGTGAATCGCCGCAGTTGCTAAGTTAGTAATACAGTTGTTAAATGAATCTGGCTTCCCCATTGACCTCGCTTGTCAGAAGGTCGCAAAAGGGGATCATGGGACCCCAGGACATTGCAACCATCATAAATATATGCTGGTTAGCAAGCATCTGAATTTTCATTCTATGACCACAGGAATGCTGACAAGGTCATAAGTGTGAAAGTGGTCCTAAGTCATTTTTTTCAGTGCCGCTGTAATTTTGAATGGTGACTAAACGAATGGTTGAAAGTTGAGGACTACATGAAAGTTGATTTCCAATTTTCTTTTTTTCAATGAGCTTTTCTCCCCAAACTTTCACAGTTGGTACAGGACCACCTTCTATGTGAATATGTTCCAATACTATTACCTCTTCACCAAAGTCCCTTTCAACTTTTCCTGATTTTATTAAACTCAACCTCCCAGGTGTTAAGTATATACGATCTTTCCCTCATTTTAGCTATTGATTTATATTTTTTTCCCATTCCCAAATCCCAAAATTTCTATGCAAACCAATCCTTAAAACAGTCTTCCATACCTGTAGCTATATCAAATATGATCTTGTATATCAGTGATGGCAGACCTTTTAGAGAACGAGTGCCCAAACTGCAACCAAAAACCCACTTATGTATAGTCGGGTGCCGATTGAGCATGGCCCATTGGGTGGGTGTGGCCAATTGGGTGGGCATGGCCCATATGGTGGGCGTGGCTGCGGTGGTAATGGCAGACTGGGTGGGACTAAAAAGTTCAATCAATCAATTCCAACTTTGCAATATCTTTTTTTCCTGCAAGAAATTAAAATTGATTGATTGATTGAACCTTTTTTTTTTGCATATGGCGGTGAAGGCCTAAAGCGAAAAGGTTTTATAAAACCCAGCTGAAGGCCTAGGATGCCCACAGAGAGGACTCTGAGTACCACCTGTGGCACGCGTGCCATAGGTTCACCACCACGGTTGTATATAGTGGAGTTTCTATCCTTTTTTTCTGAAATTTTATGAAAGTTTCAAATCTAGTAAGTATCTTTTTTTTTTTTTTTTTTTTTTCAATATAAAATTTTATTGTTTTTATCATAAAAGAAGAAATACATCACAGGTATTACACAATGATTTATCCCATCCCCCCACCCCCCGGACTTCCCAAACCAAACCTAGGCTAACATTCAAATACAAGTAAACAAATATTAATATCTCTAACTCCAAACTCTAAACTTAAACAATCCATCTC